TCACTGCTTAAAGAAATAATAATAGTAATGAAGAAACAAAGGAAGGAACACAGGAAGGAAGGAAAATAAGAATCAGACATGTAAATATCAAAAGTATAGGTATCATGGGCCAGCAGGTGTCATGGAGAGTAAGACGCCAGGTCCTACATGACTGACTCTGAGGTTTGAGTCCCAGACCCAGTGGGAAAAAAATCACACCAGGCATGTGTGCGCCCCTGAAATCCAGAGAGGAGACTGGAGGAGGAAGGACTGCAGTGTGGCCATCTCCCCACTCCCTGGAGGTGATTTCTCACTTCCCTGTCTCCATCTCTGGTGAGCGCATGTGCTCTATAACAAAAACTAAAATAAATAAAATTTTTCCCATAAGTGGTCTCCATAGTAAGCCTAAATATATTGGCCATTTCTCTCCTGAGGTTGACGAGTGGGGACTGTGACCATGAAGGCTTGTCAACCCATTGTTCTCGGAATTTCGGCATTGTAGAAAATGAGGAAAAGCTATGACTCTTTTTTTTTTTTTTAATATCAGATATTCTTGAATCATTTGGTATCTGAGGGGTTTTTTTCCAGAAGATGTTCAAAACAAGCAAGGTTGAGGTTACAAGAATACTAGATCCGGTGATGGAGACACTCCTGCTCCTTGGTTGGGTCCGTAAGAGCCTGTGGTCTCCACTGCAGTCTGTGTTAGAGCCAACGGGAGCTTTATATGAGGAGTACCCGAGCCTGGTCCCCCCGAACCCCCAAAGGGGGTTGGCCTTCTAAACGGAAATCCGTGGGGATACGGCAGACAGCCAGACCTTCAAAGTCATGACTCCTAGCACGACTCAGACAGGCTCTGGGCCCTCCCATGCCTGTGCTCATGGGGAGGTGGCCGAGGTTGACAAGCAGTCCCTGTGATGGGGAACTGCCCAACAGGAGCTGGGGGCCATGTTGGGCAAATCTCTATGGAAGTGGCGCTTACAGTCAGAGAAGTCAGGGTTCAGAATGGTCTTTGGAAAAGATTTCTGAGTGCTTATATATATATATAGATAGATAGATATCTATATCTATATGTATTTTTTTTAAAGGGCTTAAACTAAACTTTTTTTTTCAGTGATTTTTTTTTTTTCATACTTAAGTCCTTAAGCTTTACCCTTGATAAAGCAGAGAGCGTTTTCCACAGGGTCTTGGCAGGGAGCTGAGGAGGTGCTGGTCACAGTTTCCAACACACCTGAAATCTGGTCATGGGAAAAGGCTGATAGGTCCACACAGGGCTGGACCCGGGTTTGGAGGGGCCCGAGTCCTGCCATGGGGGCCATTGTTAAGAAAAAGAAAATTATGGGACCAGCAGTTAGCGTAATGGCTATGTCACTGGACTCCCACGTAGTCGACCGCGGTTCACGTCCCAGAGCTGGTGGCTTAAAACTCATGCCGGGCGCATGTGCGTGCGTGCCCAAGATCCTGAGAGGAGAATGGAGGAGAACGGATTGCGGCGTGGCCATCCCCTCTGGGGGGTGATTTCTCGTTTTCTGTCTCTATGTCTCTCTCTGTCTGTCTGGTGAGCACACGTGCCCTATAGCGAAAAACCTCTCCAAAAAGAAAAGAAAAAGGAAATTATATGCAAAGAAGGGGGTGGGCAAGCAGGGGCTTCATGGGAAACCCATCCTTAGGTCTCCCTGTCTTTGTAGTGAATCAGCAAACTGATGTCTCAGAAGGCGCTCCAGATCCATGGACCCTTCTGGAGAGCACAAGCTTGAGCCCTTAGCTGATCCTGCTGGCAGTGCCGTATCCTGCAAGGTTGTGGCCTCTGGGCCAGGCTTAGGTGGGAGAGAAACTATCAGAAAGAAGGAGGAAGCATTGAAGGGGGGGTGAGATGGAGAGAGAGGGAGGAAGGAAGGGAAGGAGAGAGGCAGCGAAAGGTAAGGAGGGAAAGATAGAGAGGGGAAAGAGACAGAGAGGGGAAAGAGAGATGGGGAGGAAGACAGCAGCGTAGAGTGGGGCAGCACCTGCCTCCCCATCATGCCGTCCGTACCCATGACCTGACACTTCTGACTCCGTCCTCTGGCATATTTCCTAGGAGTCTAAGAGCCAGGCAGAAGTTCTGAGGCAGAATGTGCCAATTGGTTTTCAATTTGAAAAAAAAAAAGAAAGAAAAGAAAAGCTTTCTTTGGATCAACGGAGACAAGGAAATCTAACTGGCAATATCCTCATTCCTAGGAGGGCAGGGGTATCGTGTATCCGTCCGGATGAGTGAGGCTCTCGCAGGAGAAGGTTGGAAATGAGGCCCAGGAAAGGCAGCCGGGTGGAGCTGAGTCCCGATCACCCACCTCCCGCCGGGTTCAGCTGGTTCATTGGTACCGAAGGCGGGCTGGAGGCTCGGCCACAGGCCACGGAGCCATGTAACAGCCTGGCTGTCCCTGTCAGTGAGATGCTAAATGGGGATTTTCAGAACTCCTTCCTTGCAAAGCACAGTCTAGCCAGATCCTGGCATAGCTTCCAGAAGAGCATTGTTTAATCAGCAAGACCATTCTTCTTCCACCTCTGCCCATCAAGGTGGAGCCGCCATCCTGAACGGAGCTGACAGTGCTGAGGCCCACAGCAGCAGCCTGACAGCCACCTGCTCACCGTCCCCTGGGAAAGATCCCCACCCTGAGCCCTGAAATGCCCGCCAGGGCAGAGGAAGCCCCATGGTTGCCTGTTTGACCGATAGGAAATGCTGTGGCAAATGATCTTGGCGCTGAATAGGAAGGGAATACATGAAAGGCCTGTGAACGCAGAGCCATGGACCCCTTTCGAGTATAGTTAATGGTCTCTCATCTCCATCTGGGATGAGTGGGGACTACTCAGCCCAGCCCCTTCCCACCCTCCCAAGCCTTTCCCCAGCTTCTCCACTGTGAGCTTGACTCTTGCCTGGAACGAAGGGCTTTGAACTTCTAAAACCTGCAAATTCCTTACAGAATGTAGGTCCTTGACCTTCGCTTCTAGGTCTGGGGCCAGGGGAGTAGATGAGGCACCATGTGTGACGTTAAAAAGAGGCCCCTGGAGACCCAAGGGAGCGAGTGACAGGAGCCGAAGGTTCCACAGCTCCAGGGACTCTCTGGTCCCCAAAGGCTGTTTACGTCGCTCTGCACCTAGGTGACAGATGACGGTATGCTCCTTGTCAGGAAGAGGAGGGAGCACCTGGATCACAAAGCTGTTAGTAGGTGGGTCCTCCAAAAAGAAGAGGGGTCAATAAGCCAAGTGATGATGATCAAGCACCTACTGTGTGTCAGTGTGCAGTCACGGAAGCAGGTTCATGGTCAAGCGATCCTGGCTGTGAGCCCTCGGTTCACCTCTCACTCCTGTAAGGTCTTGAGCAAGCTATCCAACCCATCCGTGCCTCAGTGTCTTCATTTACAGAGGGGACAGCTGCTTGTTCTATGAACTTCTGAAAACAGAGTGCAGTGCCCAGCGTGGAGCTTGATCGTAGAGTCACTCTCTCCGCTCGCCTCCTGTCCATACCCGCTCCCCCTTCAAGGCTCACTAACCAGGTATTGCACAGGCTCCAGCCTAGGGTTTAAGTCTCCCATCTCTTCTAGCTGTTCCAAAACTTGCCCAGAGCACGAGGGTTTGCAGACCGATCAAGGGTCCCCATCCATCGGCTAGAAAGGTGTTTACACTTTTTCTTTGTCCAGAGAGTGCAGGGAAACAAAGGCACGGATGGATATAATGTGACCGAAGGACTCGGGAGAAACGGACACGCCTTCTCAAACATTGGCATTGTCACACCACGGAAGCTCAGTGCATGGCTCTTGAAGCTGATGAAACTTTATCACTGGAGAATTTGAAGCTTTTACAGAACAGACTGATCAGTCCCTGAAGGGCTCTGTGACCCCGTAACATGAACAGACATAGGCCTTTCAGCCGCTTTCCGCGTACAGTCCCGTAGTTCAAGTGCGTTCTTGTTGCTGTGCAGCTGTCATCACCATTTGTCTCCAGAACTTTTCAGACCCCCAAACCGAAACTCCATACCCCTTAAACACGCACTCTCCATGTTCCCTCCCCCGGCCACTCTTCTCATTTCTGTCTGTATGAATCTCACCACTCCTAGGGACTGCATAGCAGCGAATCACACAGTATTTGTCTTTTGGGGACTGGCTTATTTCGTAATGTTTTCTAGGTCTGTTCATGTTGTAGAATGTATCAGAATGTCCTTCCTTTTCAAGGCTCAATAATACTCCAGTGTATGGGTAGCCCACCTGTTATTTACCCATTCATTCGATGGACATTTGAGTTGTTTCCACTTTTTTACTTGTTTTTGAATAATGCTGCCATGAGCATGAGCGTTTTAGTCCATTATTGTGTTGCTGAACAGAAATAACTGAAACTGAGTGATTTATAAATACAGGCTTATTTGGCTCCCTATTCTGGTGGTTGGAAAATCCAAAGGCGTGGGCTGATGTCAGGCTGGCCTCTGGTGCTAAATTAAACATGGCCGACAGAAGCAGAAAGAGAGGAGGGCCATGCAAACAGAACTCCCATGGCCTCTGTCCACTCCCATACCCTCAGCCAATTAGATGCTAACCCTCTAACTAGGCCCCACCTCTTGAAGGTCTCCTCACCTCTCAAAGGCATTACACTGGGCACCAAGCCTACAGAACATGAAACCTTGGGGTATGAGCCATTATCCAAACCATAGCGATGGGTGTGTTTTTAAAATAGGGTGAAACTGGTTTTCAGCATACAAGAAGCAGCTGCCTCAGACAGCTCTTGGTAGTCTAGGACTGTCCATGGGATTGCTTTCAAATTCTGTCCTTTAAATCAGGAACTCGGGCCATGGGCATCCTGGCCTGGGTGGCATGTTGTTCCTGGAGGCCAGCTGGGCACCTGTGGGTGGCTGTCCCTTTGGGCAGGGTTATTTAGGCGCCATTGTGGGTATTTGCCATGTGTGAAGTGCCTCTCCGGATACGACTGGGCTCCTGTGCTGCGCTCCCTGCCTGCCTGACTGAGGGTCACTAACACCTTCTCTCTTCTCAGCTCTCCAGTGCGACCAAGACCAGTGCATTCAGAGCACCAAATTCGTTTTGCAGGCCGCAGCCACACCCCTGCTGCAGAGCGAGCCCAGCCTCACCAGCGACGAGCTGCACCTGTCCGGGAAGCCTGGCCTGGGCACACCCTGCACCAGCCTGACGCTGGGCCAGCCCACACCGCCTTCCTCCATGCCCAACCTTGCCACTGAGGCCACACTCGCGGACATAATGCCTCTGAAAGAGGAGCACGTGGGCCACCAGTTCCTGACCCCTGATGAGGCGCCCTCACCACCCCGGCTTCTGGCAGCAGGCAGCCCCCTGGCCCACAGCCGCACCATGCACGTCCTGGGCCTGGCCAGCCAGGACTCTCTGCACGAGGACTCCGTGCGTGGCCTGGTGAAGCTCAGCTCCGTGTGACCGCGCGGCCGGGCTCTGGGGACTGCAGGGACTCACTCACAGGCAGTGGGGGTAAGCCGTGGGGCACCCACAGCAACTTCCTGCCAGCTCAAGGCCGTGGCAGAAGTGGCAGCCCTGGGCCTGGGATGCAGAGGCCATTCACGATGACAGGGGGCGGGCAGGACCCAGATGTTTACTTGGTTTTATTTACATTTCCTTCCCCACCTGGAACGCTTTGATGAAAATGAAAGTAGAGACGTACCTGTTCTCGGCATTTAGAATCTGAAGGGTGGGCCTGGGGAGGGAGGGCCTCCGGGGTGGAATCGAATCTGGGGAAAAAGGCACTGTCTGTCGCCGTTCTGTGAGGGACACAGAAGGCTTCTGATGCTTGGGGCCAGACTGAAACTGCACTTAAGTGTTATGCTACTAGTATTCGAAATAGACATGCCACTCCATTGTTTATTTAAAGCAAAAACACAAACAAAAAGTCTAAAGGGAAAAAACCGACCGGATGTGGATTTGCATGCCACGCTGCAGTCTGTGTAACCGTGGTCTTGGTATTCCAAAGGAAGGGCTGCCTTCTCTCTCGTTTTCTTTCTTTCTTTTTTAATCCTGTGAATTCTCAAGTGCTGTTGTGTTGGAAGACAGTGCACAAGCCAAGACTAATGGACAATGTCATCCTTGGTGAGCTGGCTCAGCCTAGTTGTGACAGGTGGCACCGGGGCTGTGGAGGGCTGCTGGGGCCGATCGCACCCGGGACATTGCACCTGTGTAGCAGTCAGCGACGTGGTGTTACACAGCCCTGCCACCGTCATCGCCTCCCTGTGTGCACCTTCCTGTGGACAGCCAATAAATGACGTCCTCTGTTGTCTCGGATCTGCGTACGGTCATCCTTACCAGGCCTCACTGCAGACAAAGTCACCATGACCTGTGGAGGGTTGGTGGGGAATGAAGTCTCTCCTGGCGAGGAGTGGTCCAAGAACAACCAAAAACCACATCTTTGAATTGCGGGGGGATTTCTAGAATGATTTCTTAGGTAAGAGACTAGCTTTCCATCCATTTTTAGTTTTGTTTATGATTTTTTTGTCCTTTAAATCTTTTTGACACCGTCTTGGTGGGGTTTGCTCTGCGTTTAGATGGCTGTGTAGCATTAATCCAGGAAGGGGAGGGACGCCGGACGAGGGGCACTGTCCAGCATCTTCTCAGCCCCGGGTCATGTTAATGCGCCACCAAACCTCAGAAGTGCCGCATGAGCTCCTGAGAAGTGTCAACACACGAGGAGCAGCCTGCTGAGGGTGGGGTGAGATCACGAGGCAAAGCACCCCCCCACCCCGGCACCAATCAGAATGGAATTAGGAACTTGCCCACGCTGTCCGCTCGCATTCATCTCGGAGGGAACTGGCTGTGTACTAGGGACCCCGTCACATCACGTTGGAAGCAGCTCCAGGGGAACCAGCCGCTTCTCTGCTGGCCTCTCCCCAGGGGAAAATCCACAGCCACATCTCACAACCGTGTGGAAGCTGCACTGATCGGGGACTTGAGAATCCCTACATGAGCTTCATTTATGGGATCTGTTTCATTCATGGAAGCCACTTTTCCTCAGAAAGAGTTGCCTTGCCTTTTTCTATAGAGAAAAAGGAAAAGAGGGAAAAAGATAAAACATAATTTCAAGTTTTATTTGGAATAAAGACAATTTGAAAAACAAACTAAAAAAGAGTTGAAAACCCCCCACAGAATGCTTGTATCATGATAGCGTTAAGCCATCTTAGTTTTTCTTATTGATACATGCATAGAAAATGGAAAGACAGACCTGGCCCCATAGCCTAGTGGTTAAGGAGGCCAGTTCCCTCGTAGCCAACCTCAGGTCAAGTCCTGGCCCTGGTGGCTGGAAAAACAGTGGGTACGTGTGCATGCACGCCCAAAATACCAATAGGATGGAGAAATGGAGGAGAAGAGATCGCTGCATGACCTTGCTTCATGGGGGTGGGGGTGATCTCTCCCTCTCCCTCTCTTTCTCTGTCTCTATGTCTCTCTGGAGAGCACTTGCAGTTCCTGGCAATAAAAAATAAAAATGAAAAAAAGAAAAGAAAGAAAATGGAAAAGGTAAATTAGGTGTAGCCGTTTTTTACCTTGGGGACTACCCTGTGGCTCACACCTACTTGTAGTTTAATTAGAGGGACAGAGCCGTCCTCACTCAACCACATGCGCTTGGTCTGGGGATTCTTCTGGCATGAGCTACCTGGGGACACAGAGCAACAGCCATGAAAGACCTTCCACAGACCCGCCCTGCCCCTTCGTCCTCCTCCTGCTCCCCGAGGCTCTAGGACAGAGTTGGCCCTGATGAGCAGGGTGGTGGCTGTCACCATCCCGTGTCTTCTGGAGGACTAAGGCAGTGGTCCTTAGGTCCCTCGCTGACATAGCCAGCATCTTCTAAACCAGCGGGTTCCGGTTTCCTATGAGCAGCCCTTCTTCCCACTCTCTTTTTTCTTTTTCTTTTTTCTTTGGAGAGGTTTTCGCTATAGGGCGCGTGCGCTCGCCAGACAGACAGAGAGAGACAGAGAGACAGAAAGCGAGAAATCACCCCCCCAGGGGAGATGGTCACGCTGCAATCCCTTCTCCTCCAATCTCCTCTACGGGATCCTGGGCACGCACACACACGTGCCCGGTGTGAGTTTTAAGCCACCGGGTCCGGGACTCGAACCGCGGTCGACTACGTGGGAGTCCAGCGACATAGCCATTATACTAGCTGCTGGTTCCCTTTCCCACTCTTTCTGAAACGTTCCAAGAAGCCAGGATCTGTATTCACTTGTCTTCGCAAGATGAATATCACTTCCTGTTTGTTGTCCATTCCCCCTGGCACCCCAACCCCACCTGGCCTTACTTATCGAGGAGGAGACTGAGAATTTTGGTGAGATGAATCCTGGCTTTTCAGGGTCAAGAGGGAGGTTAGCTTGCCTGGGCCGGTTTGCTAAGACAGTTCATGTTCACAGACCCTGGGGAGGTGCCACAGCCCTTTCCTTGGTAGCTCAGAAAAGGATGGAGTGTGAGGCGTCCAGATGAGGCTCCCAGGGCTCCCCTTCTGCTGGGCAGGAAGGAAGGACGGCACGGGGTGGGAGATGGCCCGCGGTGCCATGCCTGCTGGCCCCGTATCTGATGGGTGTGCCTGGAAGTGCCGAGGTGAGGTGCTTCCACCAGCTGTGGCTGAGGAGACCTTGACATTTCCCCACGCTTTCAGCGAGTTCCCGATTGATCGCGTGCTAGCCATAACAA